TATATATACATATTAATTACATTTTTAAACATATTACAAACGAAAAAAATACATTAAAAAATATAAAAAATAGTAGACCACCGACATCGGGTACAGGGACCAAGACACCGATGGGTAGGACTACAAAGACAGGAACCTCCTCACTATAAGGGCCGTGTCAAGGAGAACTACCTTCTGCATCAGACACTTGATCCAGCCTTGTAACGTGAGCTATCAATCTCTTGGCTATCAATCCGTGAGCAGATACGACTGTCGGAACAATGATCGCCGAATCCGGATTCCACATATCGACAATCTCGTGAGATAAATCCAAATATACAAATTATTATAATATACCTATGTCCTTGTGGCGAGAGAATGCGGAGTATCATAACCCCCTATTCATCCCGTGGGTGTCGTAAAAGCCGACTAAAGGAGTAAACTACGCAGGAGAACAGCACTGCAAAAAGTAAGAAAATTTGAAACAAACCCTATACCAACCCGTCTTGCCAGGGTGGCACAGTAAGCCAAAACCTCCTTTTTAAGGAGAGGCCTATGTCGAGCAGTGGACTATAAAAGGCTGTTGATGATGATGATATAGGTCCTACTAGTATTATAGTTAAATTCATCTAATATTTTATAAAATTTGTTTGCCATTAATATAAAATTTTAAATAACTAGTTATAAAACTATGTATATCACGGCTTTGCAAATGTTTGCATTTTTGCATGTATATGTCATTCCGTGAAACTTGTGATTACAAAATAATTTTGTTTTGGTTGACTGAAATATTTATGTAAATAATCGCATAAACAAGAAAATGTTACATAAACATATGAATCAATTATTATTGCTAAGTTACTAATAAAATTTTTACTTATCATTGTTATTAATAATTTATTGTTTGCTGAAAAAAATGAACAAAAATCTTTTACAAATTATACTTTACTAATAAACATTCCATGCACTTTTTAAATCTCCATACTCTTGGTATTCCTTCTATGTTTGTGTATCGGGCTATTGATGGGTGTAGTGAAACGATCTCTGTTTTTTTACAAAAAAAGATGTTCGTTTACGCAATATTCCTACAAAAAGTGACCACAGCAGGGAACCACGAAATCTGAAGAAATCCAGTCCGCAGTAAATTATTTTCAAGAAAAAATCATGTAAATTCTAAAAACATCGTTGCCTAATAGGAGCACAAAATTAGAACTTTATCTTAGGCGATACATAAAGGGAGCTCATGGATTTATATATTTACCAAGGTGACCTGTCCCTACTTAAAGAACGATGAACATTTATATCAAAAGCTACTTTGGTTATGAAGGTGAATCATTAAAAAAAGCATTCAATACCTGGCTATACTAACCTAATACTAAACTACCTGGCTAAACTATAAGAGCAAAACTTATAAGATCTGGATTGCTATGACTTCATAAACTAACGTTATTTTCTTTCTTCTAAGTTCATTTATCATCATCATCATTTATTTTCTTTCTTCTAAGTTTTGATAAAACATTCGTCTCCTAGCCAACTGTGAGAGCAAGATATAAATAAAAGGATTGCTACTAGCTGTATGTTCATTTCATACTGTTATATATTTACTTGTTAACCAGAGGCTGTAACATGAGGTATATCTTGTCATTGGTAAAGACTGTCCCAATAGATACCTAAATCGGTTAACCAATTACTTTCTACCTTTTACTTTCTGGCCTATATATTAGGTGTACAGTCTATATGCATAACTAAAAAAAAATGTAGACCACCAACATCTATTGCAGAGACCAGGATACCGTCCACCGGTGATTAGAACTTAGGGGTCTAAAGACTGGAACCTCCTTACAATATGGACTGTGTCGAAGAGAACTGCCTGGAAATGAAAAACCATCCAGCCGTCCTTGGTCGAGTGGATCGCCTAACTTAAACCTCTTAAGGTATTGTTGTTGTAAATTATTATCATTGTTATTATTTACAACAATAACACCTTAAGCCATCTTCATACTATTATGCAAGTTATTAGCTGCATCGCAAAACAAATGTATTATTAATAGTAATTTACTAAATTGAATTAGTAGTAAATACTAAGTAAATTGCTAATCAAATTTGTTCAGATGTGCATTTAAAAAAAAAACAAAAAAGAGTCGTAACGAAGTGTTTAATAGCCAAAATTATACAATTTTATACTAAACTTGATAACTAAATTAAATTATATTAATAAAAATGAAAAAAATCGACTTGAATTATCTATTTTGCAAAAAAATATATTATATTGCTGTCATTATTTAACATGACACGCCAACAAGCAGGGTAAGTAATCGTTTCTAATGTGGGCCATTATGCAAATCAATCTGTTTTTCGACAACTTTTCCATTATCATTATTCACCGTTGCGAATGTCGCGCCACCCTTCTTCACTCCATTTAAGTTTGAAGAATAGCTGTTGTACGTATAACCGCTCCCCTTAAACTTCTCATTGCTTTCGGGTACATACGACTTAATTCTCTCCATATCAAGTGGTTTAAAGGTGAATGAGTCAAACTTAGGAATTTTGAAATCAGGCTTCTTTATATTATCATGAATAAAGTCGAACTCGTCGAACTAGACAAAGAAGAATTAATAAATTAGTACGTTGTTAAAAAAATTGTTTATATCCAGTAAGTTAAAATTAGATGAATGTGAATGTGCCTTAAGACGAAAGTCTTTAATGAGTGCGTCCTACCCGTCATGACATACGGAGCTGAAACGTGGACACTTACGGTACGGCTGGTCCACAAGTTCAAAGTCGCTCAACGTGCTATGGAAAGGGCTATGCTCGGCGTTTCTCTAAGGGATCGCATCAGAAATGAGGTGATCCGGCAGAGAACTAAGGTCACCGACATAGCGTACCGGATCAGCAAGCTGAAGTGGCAGTGGGCTGGCCATATTAGCCGCAGAACCGATAACCGTTGGGGAAAACGAGTTCTTGAGTGGAGACCGCGTCTCGGCAAACGTAGTGTAGGACGCCCACAGGCCAGGTGGAGTGACGATTTGCGCAAGATGGCTGGCAGGAGCTGGATGCGAGAAGCCCAAAATCGATCTAAGTGGCGTGCAATGGGAGAGGCCTATGTCCAGCAGTGGACTGCGATAGGCTGATGATGATGATGATGATGATGATGAATGTTAATGCAAACAATTTTTAAAGGACCTTCTAAAGTGCGGTCGAGTTCTTATTCTACGTAGAATTCCAAATTCAAAATAATTTTATGCAATTTAGGCGGCCAAAAATATAGTTCCAAAATGTGTCTCAGGTAAAAAAAGATTGCCTGCGAATGTTGAATAGCCATAGAACAATAGGCGACCCCTCCGACTACCCTAGTTATTTTAAAAGTGAGTATTTTTATTTATGAGTTTGTTTTCGGATTCTAGTCTAAAAATATTGTATAGATTGAAAAACATATTAGTGTCTGCTGTGGTAAATTTTATTTTTTATTTTTAAAAAGGTTTTAGTTGAACTTCAGGGTCCGTCCCATGAGTTTTGTTAGTAGGTATATAGAATAGAGCATGAAATCTTATTAATAACGTTGAATTTAGCCGTGATCTCCCGTGAAAACAAAGTTTTTCAATTGGTATTAATTATATGGTGCAAATCTGCCTAATTTTACTAATTAATTTACTTTTCTTGTAGAAGAGTTCTCATTTCGTTTCAGAATCGGAGAGTATCTCTGGGGTAAAGTGACTACTTTTTGACAAAATACAGGAACTAGACTTGCAAAATTTTGACTAAACGTTGGTTTATCTTGATATATATATTTTATCACAAGATGAATATTGTGATCAAAAAAAGAAACAAGCATTCATTCTCTTATTTGAAGTCTGAAGAAAAGGTGGACAGAAGCTCACAAAAAACGACAACTTTTCATCATACGAGTAAACATGGTCAAACAAAGAAAGGCAGAAATACAAACAAAATTTTGGGAACAAACGGGGCTATTAGTTGATATACCAAAAGCTGGTTTCGGTTACACCAATGATGGGAATACAAGCAGAAGATCTCTCGCAAGTTCAAAGTTGCTGTCGAAATTACCGGTGAATTTAATCCTAATAAGACGTTTAAAAGTGATTTTGGAAGTTATTTCAAGTTCCATAAAGTTTTGCTCTTTATGGGTATAAGTCTGCGAAGATGTACATAAATTTATATCCCTGGCACCCCATGACTAATCCTAATCTTTGGGGCAACTGGGGTTTTTTATCAGAGGACGCACTAGAATCATGTAATAAACACACTCAACTGTAACGGCAAAATTATGCAAGAATTTATTTTAGAGAGCAATGCAATCTAGATGGTATGAATGGATTAGTGCTCAAATGCCATGCAATAATAACTACAAGTTTGGAGTTAAATCTGCTACCTTTTTTTCATCCTACGGTGAGTTTTTATATTTCTATCGTTACGTGGCCGCCTGTAAGGTATTTGAAGGAGAGGAGGGTTTTGAGGTATGCTAAAATAGTATCTATAGAAATAAAGTTTAGTATTGTTATCAGAAACTGCTTGTGTTTAGGCTGGTTAGAATGAATGAGTCATTCTATAAAAAGGAACGAAATAAGATTGAATTGAGTTTGAGTTGAGTTTAGTCACATAGTAATTGGAATATTATGAAAATTGCAGTATTAATATTATTAAAAGTAATTTAGAAATAAAGTTTAACGTAAATGATCAGTTAGCAACAGATATAATTTACAAAGTGTACCTCCGGTTGTTGGAAATCGGCAAACTGTAACAAAAAAGTACACAGGTTATGTAGATTCTACAATAAGTTAGTTTTCTTCGAACTTAAACTACAAAGTGTGGTGTGCTTTTTGAAACAATAGTTCGTCTTTGTGTTTTACTACAATTATTTTGTCAATATATCAATTACCTGTTTTGTTTGGCATTGGTTCCGTACTGTATAATCCATGTAAGCTTATCTTATAACTATGTTTATATTAATTTTGAGGTTTATGTTTGTAGTTTCTAAATTATGCGTAATTATAGTGTAGGTACTACTAAAGGCTGCTTACCGGAGCGTCCCTGTAAAACAAACGTGTTATGAACCTTCCAAGGTCGAGTTTTCAATTAAAGTGTTCAAAATTAAATATTTACCTACTTAATAATTGATATGGGTGGTGGGGCATCCCCAGCTGAAAAAAATCAATTCGTTATAAAATCAATATGGAAAGTTTGAATATTTTTGTCTTTGAAATGTAAATGATAAATTTACGTAGGTAAAAATAAAATTGAAGTGAAACCTTCTTTAGGCGCGTTGGGTATTTTTGGACAACAAACAAATTAATGTATTTTTTTGAGATAGGAAAAAACCATTGAGCTTGCTACACAGTTACGGTTACCGACACCTCTGTATATAAATATCTACATATATTGGCCCCGTTTACACGAGAGTTGAGTTTGGGTTGAAATATATTGATAATATATATAGAATAAACATGTATTGTGTATATACGTACAACATAGATACATATTTATGTCAGAACTTTTCGCAACGAAAAAAGCAAAAAAAAAACTTGTTACAATAAAAAAAAAAAAAATTTTGAAGTTTATACTTCTGTCAGCCCTCCCGGAGTGGCAGTTGTTTCTGTTATGGATAATGTTTTACACCTCAATAGTTCATCAGACATTTATATACGTAAGTAGAAGTCGAATGCATTACAAACATACTCTAAACTTGTGCAACAGGCAGCTTTGAAGCGAGACTTAAAAGCTATCTGCCGTAAGGGAACTGTAAGGATAAGTCTTACGGTCACGTGTTTTTTATGATTGTGTGTAGTTCCCCGCGGCACAGGATGCGGGAGTCGTCTTTTCCAAAAACAAAAAAATAATTTTATCACTAGGGTTTATGTTCTTCTGTTTAATTTCATACTTTTTTTTGCTCCTCCATAATCGATGACATGCCTCGTTTGCTTTGCAGTACTGATTAAATTTAATGTGATTGTAAATTATAAATAATAATATATACCTACAAATAGTTATATATAACTTTAACTGTTCACAATAACTGAATTTCAGTTTATCAATTCGAGAGGTTCTTTTTTTCATTTCATAAAAACCAGAATTTTATTTTACTATTTATAAATAGAGGTATTTTTAAATGTTTAACTGCCTTATCCGACAATTGTGCATGGTAATCGAGTAGTCGCTCGCTGCTTCGCTGGTTTGAGTTCCACTTATTGTTGCAATTTGTATTTCAAGAGACATCTCAAATCCACGAAGTCACCGCTGATTGATTCCTTGGTTAAAATTTTGGATTACTATTTATATTTTATTTAGGATCTATTAAGATTTGTTACTGAAGCGGGAAATAAGTTACCGAACACGATGTAAAAAGCTTGTTGAACGTCGGTTCGGTTGTAACGTCAACCATTGAATTCAGTGTAAAATTTGACGAAGGTCTTAAAAATATCGTATTAAGTCTTCTGAGGACGAATATCCACTTCAGATTGTATAGTATACGAGTAATATTAAGCGTTGAAAACCTATTTATTTGAAATCAACTGAATATTTTAAAAGTTTGAAATCAAATACATACTTTGATGCACAGTGATTTTTCCATTATCATTAAACACCACGGTAGCTCCACCTGTTTTGCCTACTTCTCCATCTTTCGATTTCTTTGTTTCCGCGTGAGAAAGAACAGCTATACCATTAAAGTTATTTCCGGGTTGTCCTCCTTGTGCTGCTATGCTTTCAAAGGTTAATGGTTTGATAGTATTGATTGGGGGGAAGGTGGGAAATTTCGGAAACTTAGGAAATTGAATATTGTTAGGCCAGGGTAGTGGTGGGAAACTAGGCACTTGCATGCGAAATGGACCGTCAGACGATAAGCCCTGTAAAGAACGACAAAGACGAACTACGTTGAACGATGCTAAGTGATTGTGTATATTATTCTGCCCACTCTCCCATTTATCCACAGCTTACCTGTACAGGGTTCAACCTGAAATGAGTAACAAAATATTACACTGTATTAGTTGTACTAAGTCTGTTGACGATGATTACGTTCTAGGACTCTATGTAGGTATAAAAGATTTCAAAGGAGAAAGTACTATTTTCTACCTATTTTTAGATACCTAGTAGTATTTTTACATAAAAAAATAACTATATCCGATTTCAATGCGCCTTTGTTATAATAAATTCGAATTGGAGTATGTCCTTGTGGTGATGGATTAAGAATACAGAGTGTCACCACCCTTATTCGTAAGTGCCGTACGAGCCGACTAAGGAAGCAAACTACGCAAGACAACAGCACTGCAAAGAGAAGGAAAACTTGACAGAAACCCTACACCAAGCCGTCTGGCCAGCATGGTATAGTAGGTTAAAACCTCCTTTCTAAGGAGAGGTCTATGTCCAGCTGTAGACCATGAAAGGCTGTTGACAATGATGTATTGCTTCATTCCTCAAATTTTCAACTCAAGTGGTGAAATATTCTTTAAATTCCAAGTAAATCAACTTTGTGCATTATCAATTTAAATAAAGTTAATTGTGACATTGGTTGATAACCGTCATGTATACCAGCAAAATAACATGCAGCCGAACATAGGATCCATAGAATTCTTTTTTTGAAGTCGCTTAATAAGGAGTGATCATATCTGTTTATATAACTTGATGATTATAATTTTGCTGGTCTGTTGGTCTAGTTAGTGACACTAACTGCTAAGCCAGAGGTCAAGGGTTCGATTCCCAACCAGAACAAATAATTGTGTGATGAGCACGATCTTTGTTCTGTGTCTGGGCGTGTTTCATCTATAACATGTATGTATTTAGAAATATATAAGTATGTTTATCAGTAGTCCGGTTACCATAGTACAGGATCTGCCTAATTTTGGATCAGACGGCCGTCTGTTAGATATGTGAAGTTATTATAATTAAATGCATATATATATACATATATATATATATATATATATATATATATATATATATATATATATATATATATATATATATATATATATATAATATAGACATATTAAAAATAATAAAGCCACTCCGACAAGTAAGTTATATACAAAACAGATACGTATAGCAAGATAACGTCTTAATGGACTGTAAATAGTTCTGTAATTACGGCAATGCAACTTAAGTACAGGACTTTAAAAGCTTTTACAATTTAACTATATAGAGTTGAGCAAAATGTTGCAGTTGGTACCAGGCGTTGTATTATATTAAATACTAAGTACTAAATAGTTCACTACCAAGCTTAGATACGAAAGCGTGAAAAAAAAACTATGTTTTGAGTTTGTAATATAAGTTTGAATAGTGAGGATAACTTACCCAAAGCTACCAGCACTGCCGAATAATGAAACGTCAGCTGCAAAACAAAATTGAAATATGTTTAATAGGTATATGAATATAATACGTACTAATAAAAGAATTACTAAGAAATGCTATCCTATCGTACGGGCGGAAAAACCACGGGTGTTATAATTTTATTCCATACGCTGAACAATCAAAAATACAATGGGTACCTTACTAGGGTACCTAGGTTTCCATAATAGGATCTGACGCAATACTATAAAGGAAGCTGCGATATGCGTTAAATTTGTATTTATGTTTCATTATAAATGGTAAATCAAGGCATGGTTGTATTCGTCATAACTTTTTTCAAAAAGATTTTCTTTGTGTGAGTAAAGTTTATCATAATACTCGTACTCTTTGAAAATGTACAATACATTTGTGTGCACAGGTGTAATTCGGCTCATACAATCAAAAACAATCAAATTAATTACGATTATTGTAATGTCCGAGGTATTTCTAAGAAACATCGTCTGTATTACGATGTTAACATATAACTATAGTTTTCATTTACAGTTTTAGTCTTAGATAAGGTGATGCCACTAAGGTGCCTTAACTGGAAAAGCGAGAAATTATGGTTTCTTTTCCAAACTTTCATAATAACTTACACTATATATGTATAATACTGCCTAATAAAATGTCTTGATCAAACGATCAGACCCGTATTCGAGGGCTAAATTCTATCAACTAGTCAAGATTACTTCATCATCATCATCAATGGCTTTTAATAGTCCACTGCTAGACATGGTGTGTGGTGACGGATTAAGAATATAAAGTGTCACCACCCCTATTCAACTCGTGCGCATGAGTGTCGTAAGAGCCGACTAAGGGAACAAAGACAAGAGCACTGCAAAGAGAAGGAAAACTTGAATAAAGCACCATACCAACCCGTCTGATATAACAGGCCAAAATTTCCTTTCTAAGGAGAGGCCTATGTCTAGCAGTGGACTATTATAGGCCGTTGATGGCTCAGCACTAAAATAATAATAATACATTACACATCCCACATGTGATGTGATGATAGTTCCGAAAAATTAAATTTAAAATTTTGTAAGAAGAACAGTTACATAACCTAACTGACTGATAGAAGAAATCAAAAATATTTAAGAAAAGTTTTAATTTTGAAAATTCCTTGCAGCAAATTTTTTTAAATACTCACAACCACATAAACGATAAAAAATAAGTGTAAGCAATTTTCGACTTTATAAATTTGAACAATGTCCAATTCAATTTTTAATATTCGTGATCAGTGGCATTTATAGACGCCAAAAGACAACGTTTTTAGAGAAACATCTTTAAGGGCAATAATTGCCAGCAATGTTTTGTACTGTACCAATGTGCTGGGAATTACTTTAAAGAATATTTTTGTTATTTGCCACCTTAAAAAGACTAAATATTGAACATAATTTTAGAAGTGTCTAATCATTGATGATTTACCTATTCCCTAGTAGTCCAGCGTTATTACCAAAAGCGTGACATGTATTTTACTTTTTTGCCACCTTTAATTAAAATATTATTAGTATGAAAGTAGGTACCCATTTGACCTATAACGTATGATCCATATGCAATTAATTACAATTCTTATTAGCCTGATAATTCATGCTAACACTAAATAAATGTATTTTCATGCTCAGTACCTACGTTTGTTTACGATGGTAACGGTGCAACATTTGTTTTTATTGGCGCAGACTTTGTATGGCGCGTATTGGAAACATTAAAAGATGTCTAGACTGAAAATGGCTGGTTATTTATAAGTTCGATTAATCGTACATTTAAACGATTATTCGTATACAAGTAAATTTGAATAGTCGCAACACTACGGTAAAGGACTAGGACCTTACTACGTGACTTTAAACTAGCCTTAAAAATCTCTATATGTATTGGTTAATTTGAAAAATGTATGAGTTACGGCATTACCAAGTTGTTTCGGCTTTAAAAGTATGTGAAAAGCAAACGTGAAACGTTACCTCTAAGATCAGGTGATGGACCATAATAATATTTATATGTTACAGTACTTTATATATTTATACAAAAAGCCAGCTTGGAGAAAAAACTAGTTTTTCTACGTAACTCATAATTGTTTATAATAATGATACTTATCATTATAAAAGTCTCTTTGATTCAAAGATAGAAAAAAATAAGTACTTGCAATTTTTTTTCAAGTAAATTTACAAGTAAACGAAAAACAAAACTCTCTAGCCCATCTTGGTCATCTGACTCCCCTTCACATGACTAAATATTTTCAGGATTTATATCTGTAACATTATACTAGTCACCGAAGGCGTAAATTTCCCACAGCAAAGTCTTTGGGTCAATTTTTGGATTGGTGTTATGTTTTAAATATAATATATTGTCTGTTTCTGTACTAAACTAGTGAGACACGATTATGCGATACACATTACATTGTATATTAGGGTGAGGCCTTGTTCGACGCCTCCCTTTAAATAGTAGCAGAAACTATGTGTGAAAAATCAATATGTGACGGTTAGGTAATATTGTTCAATGAGCCAAATCCTCACTACTGTATAGCCCGATAGAAATTTGAGAGACCATTTATGGCAGTCAAAATCCTGAACTAAATGCAGACAGCTTACTATTTACGAGTTATTCCTAATGATCTTTTGGCACTTGGAAATTTGTATTGGGATTGAAATAAATGGGGGAATTAATAATGAATAAATACTTACCGTTAGAGACCGTCGCCATCAGGACGGTCAGAAACAAAACGCAAATCGTGACAGCCATTTTCATGGCAAAATATGTTATTACTGAAGATAATAAGTACGGTATTTACGTATGTGGCATTTAACCAACGGCTGATGATACACTGTTCTCTTCGGCATAAGTTTTCATTTAAATATTACACAGTTGTTGTTCGTTCTTCAAGCTGAATAAACAGTGTGACGAATTCTGTTTTACAAGGAAACCTATTCAGTGCAAGAACCTGAAATAGCGAAATATTATTTTAAGTCACAAAATAATGAGCTGTGAAGTTTTCCTGAACGTTCTAGCTGGCTTTGTTTTTCTTTTTTCAAATCTGTCAATATCATTTCAAAGGTATCTTTTAATGACTACTTGGAATATGCTTTATTCTCGAGCTTAAATTTATGCAAATACATGTGTTGCGTACATTATCACATTAGAAAATAACAAATGTAGATGGTTACGTAATTAAATAAAACCAAGCCAATATTACTTCTATGCTGTATTGTATACCTATGTATTTGCCTTAGTATAATATTACACATAATATCTTCGTGATAATTATTTATGAATGAAGTATGTTTTTACTATTCATTTATTTATGATAAAGCAAATGAGCAGATGGGTCACCTGATGGAAAGTTTTGTTTCTTTTTTCAATGTCAAACACACTATAAGGCACGCCTGCAACTAAAGATATTGTTCAATAAATCCCGACACTAACTTGGGGCTGGCGCATATACGAGCACTTTTGATTTTAAAAAGTACTGGCTATCAAACGATGTGTGTTAATTAAAGCTTTATAATATTGATCTACCTTCCAAAAACAATGGAAAATCGAGTATCGGGAGTGGCTAAAACACTGTTTTTAGTGCAAAAAAATAAACCGTTCAAGGACAGCAGAGGCTTAAAAAATGTTATCTGGAATATACTCCACCATTTCACTCCAAAATCTAAACGGCAGTCAGTAGAGTGGAGAGCGGCCGGTAAAAGCTGCTCGAAGCGGCCTGAGACAAAAAACTGCCGTCTGCCTTGATATGGTAAAAATATAAATAGCGAATATTACATGAAATTATTGGAGCGATTAGAGAGAGACATCAGATGAGATCATGAAAAAACTAATCGAATTGGGCTTCGAATTATTTTCCTATCCACCTTATTCTCCAGATTTGGCCTCCAGTGATTATTGATTGTTTGCAGACCTTAAATCAATATTGGGTCATTTCTTTGGGCAAGAGATTTCACTCGGATAGTTTTATAACTTTTTGCACAAGTACATGCATCGGCAGACTTAATGCTCTGCCAGTTGACCGATTGGGCGATGCTGAGAAAGAATGAGGTAGGTGCATTTATGAGAGGGTAATAAATGACAGAGGTTTTGTTAAATACCAACTATCTTGGAATTTGGTGTATACATCTGAATACCACACACATACACATATATATATATATATATATATATATATATATATATATATATATTCAAATATATTATAAAAAATATAATAATTTTAGGCGATGAACTAGGAGCTCGTTGAATCTGCCATTTCACTCAGCCAAAGCTCTTGCCAGGCCATCCTTGCTTCGAGAGGAAAAACATTCCATAAGAGGACAGCCTGGACGAAGGACGAAGAGCCGACAAACCCAGTGGTGTGAGAAGGTTTCTTTTGTGGTTATTGCATAACAGTTAAAATTATGTTGTTAAGTAAGTAAGCGAGGAAGGGGAATTGAAGATAGTTTACTAATTGTGAATGCGCGAATTTTCCTGCGTTGACGAATAGGTCATCTTAGCTGGGAACGAAAACTGGAGATATGGTCATACTACGAAGATTAAAGATAAATCGAATACCGTTATTGATAAGATGATTTAGCTTGCTGAGAAGATCTGCATTCAGGTCATAATAGCACACATCACCTTAGTTTATTAAAGTGATGATTAAAGAGATTGCACGAGCGCTGTCTTAGTTTTAACGGGAAGAAAGTTTTTCAGGCGATATAATTTTCTGAGAATGCCGGTTACTCTCTGGCGTACGTATGTGACTTGATCGCGTCAGTTCAGAAACAGTCGAGTTGTAAGCCTAGGTCTTTCACCGTTCGACAGGTATGGTGGTACAATTGAAAATTATTTTGGGGAGCATCTCAAAACTGACTCTGTTCATCGAACGTTGACAGCCGATTATTATGGCCTGACACTTTGTCGGGTTGACCGCCAACCCAAACCTTTCAGACCAGCTTTTAATAGTTTTAAGATTTATGTTGCTCTCGTCGATAGCTGTTGGTATGTCTTCAACGTTAGCTTGAGTATATAGTTGCAGGTCGGCAGCATACAGATGATACGCATTACGATGTTCAAGAAATAGGTGATTAATAAACACAGAGAACAGTAAAGGAGAAAGTATATCGCCTTGAGGGACACCAGAGCCGACATCACACCAGCTCGAGGAAAGATCGTCGACATGAACGGAAGATAATACGACGGAACCTGAAGATAAGATGAAAACCATTAAAGTGCTTCAGGCGAGATCTTGAGATAGGAGAGGATGGATAAAAGAATTACGTGGTATTAATGGCATTTGAAAAGTCAACCAGAATTAAGACAGTCACTTTCGTATCTTCCTGAGCCACCCTGATATGATACCAGTCACTTTGAGGAGGGCAGTAGTAGTGCTGTGGCCAAGCCTAAAACCAGATTGAATGGGCACACAGCGCAGGCTTCAAGAACTTTAGAGAGGAAGGGAAGAATTGATATATGTAGGTCTTAAGTGATTAGGAGGTGTGGGATATGCAATTTTAGATAATGGAATAATGTAAGCTTTACGCCTAAGTGAGGGGAAAGTTCTGGACTGTAAGGATCAGTTTATGATGTGGGATTTTTCTGGTAAAAGCTGATTAAGAATTGTTGTGATCATGCGTCTGGTGATTTGGTCGAAGCACACAGCATTGGATTTGAGAGATAGGCTAATTTTTTTTATCTCACCCTGCGCAACTGGAATAAATTGAAAACAGTTAACATCAGGGGAATTTAGGATCGCCAAGTAAGTGACTGTGAGATACTTGGTTTGGTGATCTAAATAACTAGACGTGGAGAAATATCAATGATATTATCCAAAGTATCATATATATATATAAGAGAATTATCAATAAACGCAGCAACGGAACTTTTTTTAAGTTATAGATTGGTATATCGTTCTACAAGTACAGACTTGTAATAGAAAAGTACGAAATGTGTTGAAGCCACTGTATCGCCAGTTGAAGAAGAGAACTTTAATAAATGAAAAATAGAAACTTTGTTTTAGTATTTAGTCTCGTGACTTATTAAACTTAGTTACTTTACAATTTTTTTTTCCTCGTGCTGGTTTATGGTCACCATCCACCGATCGAGAGATGCAGCCTTTATACACATTTTTCTTACGATTTAACTACTACTTAAAAGCCCAACCATGTTGGGTAATTCCAGACTTCTCTTCTTGTAACGTTGAAGAGCCATTATTGGTCTCATTTAGTACCGGCAAAAGTCGTGGTTTGATGTAAACTAGTTAAGATCGTGTCTACTTTGTCTATTTCTCTCCAGAAAGTTATTTTATTCTTGCCTTTAACACAAAAGAAAAAAAAAAACACTTTAGTTAACAAGTTGAAAGCAAATTATGAGCTGATTTTATAGCGCCCCTGTCTGGTGGATCTAACATTAATTATCATATAAAAATAATCATTTAACACATAAGTAAATACACCTACCTACCTAAATGCACCGACTTCCTGTTTTCTCTGCATCATCCAAAGGTTGACCTGGCATTAAGTCCGCCAATGCACCAAATGTGCATGATTTATAAATAAATAAGTACGTATTTTACCTTTTACGCTCCTTTGACCAAATGGGAGAACAACAGTCATCAATTGAACACAAGGTATTTATTGGATACTAAACTTAACACTGATTGAAAAATAGTTCGCCATCTGAACATTGTTTTGTTACACATTACATTATCGCAAGAATGTATCCGTGACTTACGCTGTAGTTAATAGCAAATGACGAACAGTAATAATCCGTAAAGATTGAAAAGATAATAGTTAAAAGTAAACTTATAATATACAGTTTATTTGTATTATATCTAGAAGCGTAGATTTGTCTGTAGCATTAGGGTAGAGAATACACATGTCATCACATACACTATTTCACTTTAAACTATACACCTAAATCTAAATGTAATGTTTTAGACATTACATTTAGATTTATGTTTATATGTTTTATATTTAACCTTATAATCTAGTTAGCATATTTACAAAATTAAAAAATATTTAAGTATTCTATCCGTCAATGAGCTTTCATAGTAGTAGTAAGTTCTGCCTACTCGTAGTTTGAAACTAGATGTCGTTGTGTGTCAGACGTCCGAAATATAATGATAATGTTATTAATTAATTTAATTCTATGGTGTGGTTACTTCTCTCTCAATAATGTCTTAACAAAGCAACGTATTGTTACGTTGTGTGATGATTATTAACTCTTTTCTAAAATAACCTTAATTGATTAGTGATTTATCTTTTCCTATTGATTAAGTTATTGACTTGCGACATTGAAAATTGAAAGCAACAATGCTATCTCTAAAGGTGGCAAATTGGGGAATAAAGGAGTCTATTACAATTTATCAGCAATACATCACTACAATTACAATATTCCTATGAGTATTAATTTAGCTGCACACTGTTCTCTATACAGTATCATATTATAATAGAAGTTAGTAACCGTATTAGTTTCAATAAAAAAATATTTAAAAAATAATAGTTTAAAAAAATTATAAACACGCTTTTTATAGAAAACCAAACTAAAAAATAGATTATAAATTTTAATAAATTTGAAAAAAAGCGTTGGGTGCCTGTTGTCAATAGTAAAAAGCAATCCACGCTTTTGCTATTTTTTTTCAAGTTAGTGTATTGTCATCGGTCCTCAATATATCAACAAAGATTGAACGAATTCTAACCGTTTAAAGTCAGTCAAAATCACGCAAAAAGGAGTCGGTTACAAACAAACATACAAACATGCTAGGT